AAAAAATAAAATAATATTGACAATTATTGAAAAAAAACCTAAAAAAGGTACTCAGCTGTACAGTAGGTTAGCATATTCGTATAATGAAAGTACATTATACAATAGTTATTTTAAATGTATACTGTATGTCTGTATGGGAGAGTTACACACCGTTTGACATCACATATTTGTACTTTGATCACCTTAAAAAAAATAAAATAGTCATAAACGATAAAAAACTGGTAGGTGGGTATTGCTCTACTGTACAGTAGGTTACAAGTGGGTCACTGTATAATGGATGGTATTAAATTTGAATTCAATGATATAACATCATTGCATAAAAAAAACGATTCTGAGCGAAAACGGTTAGTCAGCCTATGATATTACTAAGTATATTTGATGATACTAAGGTGAATAAAGTTATTTATATATAACCTATTTACGTAGAATCTTGTTTTAAAATTTCAATCATTAGCTATAAAAGTTTAACGTTTTATAAATTTTTAACTATAAAATTATTGTTAAATTTTAAATGTGATAAATTTTGTCAAAATTTGAACTTTAAATACTCATAAAAAAAAAATTGTGGCCATATGTATTATTAATATTTTTCAAGTATTATTCTAACAATATACAGGAGCTTTGCATTAAATGATCACGCTTTTTTACCCAACAAATAAAATTTTATTGATATTTATAGAAAAAAAAATAAATTTAAAACTGAAAATGTCCGTAAATAGCTCAAAAAGAATCAAAATATATTCAATACTTTATGGTGTATAGGAAATGCTAATATAAACATTCAATGAAATATTCATGTATCTACAGTTATTCATTTTTGAAGTACAACAAAATAAGAAAATTCCTACATGAGAAATCAAGTGAATATCCAATGTTGTAAAAATTTGAATTTCAAACGCTCATAAAAATTTAATTTGACTTTCTTATTGACATTTTTTTTGATAAAGGTAGATAATCTTATAAGGAATCTTGTATTACATTTAAAAAACCTTAGATATAAATAGAAAAATGTTTACGGATTCTTAACTCAAAATAATTTGCTAATTTTCGTGATTTTTCCATATTTTATCAATTTTTGAACTTTAAATGATAAAAAAAAAAACTGTGACTGAGGATTTTTAATATATTTCAAATACCGTTGTAACAATATAGTAGGAGCCTTGTATTAAATTTTCAAGCTTTTTTACCCAACAAATAAAATTTAATTGATATTTTTAGAAAAAAAACTAAAAAAAAATATAAAATGAAAATGTGCCTAAACAGTTCACAATGAATAAAAACATTTTGAATATGTTATCGTGTATAGAAAATGCTAATATAAACAATCAGTGAAAATTTCACTCATCTACGGTCATTTGTTTTAAAGTTACACCAAAAACCAAAATCGATTTTCTCGAAAACAGATTTTGCGTAAAAATTCCCGTTTTTCCTTAATTTTTCTTTTGATAACTACTTGGAAATTTTTACTTTTGACCCCCCAAAGTACCAACTAGATTCACTTTCCTATCAGAAAAAGCACTGTCCTAATAGGTGATGACAGACACAAAAAAAATAAAAAATAAAAAAACACACATCATTCTAAAATCAATACATTCATCGTTCTACTCAGAATCTAAAATGTATAATATATAATAATATAGATTGTTCTCATAATAAATCGATATAACAATGCTCTTTTAACTATTTTAATATTTAGATACCTATTCTGTTATACAATTTATATAGTATTATCCTGTATAACTCTAGATGGTACATTGGTACAAGCCACAAGGTAATTATATTGATTTATGGTATCCAATTTAGTATTTATACAAAAATAAATCATTTAAAAAACTATTTTTCACTTCAGCCAGTAAATATTCGGCAGATTGGGAATCAATATTACACAATATTTATTTATATATTTATTAATAATTTATAATTTTCCATTGCATATTCTTAAATATTGTTTTACTTGTTTACAGTAGGGGTATTGGCCCCTCGATTTTCCACCCCTTAAATCTGGCCCGGCTGCAATGTCATTACCGTAATGTTCAAATGTTTGCGCGGAATAACACATCAGAAGCCATCGGTATAAGACACGTATAAATAATAAGTAGTAAACTTCCAATACTGCCATCAATCAAAATTCCAAATCTTCGGCATAATTTTTTGTTAACCTAAACGATGGAATAAAATGAAACATAATATAGATATTAATATAATATATGTGTATACAGATCATAAGACAATGGTTAATAATAATTGTTATTAATTGCGGCTAAAATCACAAATAATGTAGGTACAAGACAAATTATTACAATTATTGAGCAAAAAAGGATTTCATAATTTCTTGTAATTTTAGACAACTGCAGTAGGTGTTGCATTAAATACGTTAAAATTAGAGCAAAGTACAAGTTTGAAAAAAAAAATATTTAAAAATATTAAAAATATTTAAAAATATTTAAAAATATTTAATTTACATGAACAATTATCAAAACATTATATTATATTTAAAATTTTTAATAAATAGAATAATTTTAACAATATTAGTATTATAATGATCAATCACGATTATCATATATAAAACGATTGATAACAATTTTTTGAGTAGATTCTCATCTTTAGAATACCTAGTATATAATTAATATATAATTTCTTTAATTTATTATAAGTGCTATAAACGAAGAAAAAATTAGCTAAAAAGTCAAAACTAATAAATCATATAATTCCCATGTTTATTGTAACTATATTAAGAATATTCTGAGAAGTCCAACAACAAGTGAAAAAAATGCACAGTCAATAACTTTTTGATGTGTACGAAAAGTGCTCGGGGTATTCCATCTGGTTTCAAAGCATATAACGACAGCAAGAAAAATGTTAATCAACATAAGTAGAATAATTAAATTCATTACTATAATATAATATTATGTGCAATTTGCCGTACTCGTTATTTCAATCAAATTTGGATGAAATTACATAAAAAAAAAACCTAAAATAACTATTTTAGTTATTTTGTTGTGATTGTATATAATTATTCGTGGGTACCTACTTGATATTTCTGAAGTATACTAATATATACCTATTATAGTATCAGGGTTTGTTGTTGACGTATAACGCATTATAAGTACCTAATGGACATGGTGATATGATTAATTTGGAATTTATTATAGGTACCTATTATGGGTCAATTGTTTGTTTAATACCATAGATATGTATATAATATATTAATATGTCTTATACCTAGACTGACATACCGTCTCCGCTCAGAATCGTTTTTCTCATACAATGATAATATATCGTTAAATTCAAATTTAATATCATCCATTATACAGTGACCCACTTGTAACCTACTGTACAGCAGAGTGACACCCACTTGCCACCTTTTTTTATTATGTAATTTCGTCCAAATTTGAAATTAAAATGACTATAAAAATAAACTGTGCTTCTGTATTTTTTAGACTTTTGGTGACAGAATTAGCTACTTACGTGGAATCTTGTTTTGAATTTTCAATCCTTAGATATAAAAGTTGAACATTTTATAAATTTTTAACTACAAAATAATTATTCAATTTTAAATTTGATAAATTTTGTCAAAATTTGATCTTTAAATGTTTATAAAAAAAACTGTGCCTATGTATTTTTAATATTTTTCAACTGCTATTGTAACAATATATCAGGAGCCTTGTATTAAATTTTTACTCTTTTTGGCCCAACAGATAAAACTTTGTTGATATTTATAGAAAAAAAACTAAAAAAAATTGAAAGCTGTAAATGTCCGTAAACAGCTCAAAAAGAGTCAAAATATTTTCAGAATTGTATGGTGTATAGGAAATGCTAATATAAACATTCAATGAAATTTTCATGTATCTACAGTTATTTGAATCACAACAAAATAAGGAAATTGCTACATGAGAAATCGAGTGAATATCTTATGTTGCAAAAATTTGAATTTCAAACACTAATAAAAATTTAATTTGACTTTCTTATAGACATTTTTTTTTTTTGATAAAGGTAGATAATCTTAAAAGGAATCTTTTATTACATTTTCAAATTTTAGATTTTAAAAGAAAAATGTTTACAAATTCTTAACTCAAAATAATTTTCTCATTTTCGTGATTTTTCCATATTTTGTCAATTTTTGAACTTTAATAACTTATAAAAAAAATTTTGATTAAGGATTTTTAATATTTTTCATCTGCCTTTGAAACAATATACCAGGAGCTTCTATTAAATTTTCAAGTTTTTTCTATCCAACAAATAAAATTTTATTGATATATCTAGAAAAAAAAACTAAAAAAAAATGAAAAATGAAAATGTCCCTAGACCCTAAACAGTTCAAAATAAATCAATATATTTTGAAAATGGTATCGTGTATAGAAAATGCAAATATAAACATCCAGTGCAAATTTCATGTATATACGTTCATTTGTTTTAGAGTTACACCAAAAACCAAAATCGATTTTTTGGAAAACCGATTTTGCATAAAAATTCCCGTTTTTCCTTAATTTTTATGTTGTTTTTCCCGGCGCTTGTGAAAACTACTGGGAAATTTTTACTTTTGACCCCCCAAAGTACCAACTAGATTCACTTTCCTATCAGAAAAGATAAATTGTTGAAGAAAATCCAAGCACTTAAACTGTCCTTTTACAGACACAAAAAAAAAATAAATAAATAAAAAAAAAAACACACATCATCGTAAAATCAATTCATTGTTTCACTTAAGGCGCATTCCCACGGCGCGTTAAATGCGCTGGCTTGGTACACTACACGCGCCGTGGGAACGCTCTTGCTCGTCTAGGCGCGGTATAGCTCGGCCAGGCTCGTGTCTATCCAAAATTTGTCGGTCCGATGTGTCCGCGCCAAAGTAAACGAGCCGCGCATTTAGACAGCGTTCCCACAGGCAGGCGGTTCGGCGAGCCATTGCTAGTACCTATACGTTGTTTAGTATAGTACCTATACGTTTTTTGGTCTTTTTTATTTTTTAATCACTATTAAAATCATTATTAATATTTATTATCATGGAATGGTCAAATGACGAAGTAATAGAGTTTTTGCAACTATATGAAGGATATCCACAAATTTGGAACCCACGCCATCCGAGTCATAAAAACAGAAACTTAGTTCATGATGCGTGGAAGGAGATAGAAAATAAATTAAGGTTAGATTAATTTTTGATTTTTTTATAATATTTTTAAATATTGATTTTTGTATTTTTGTAATTTTAGTGTCAAAACTGACATTACAGAAATAAAAAAAAAAAAGATTCTCTTATGGCTACTTATAGAAAACTATAAAAGCAAGCAAGGGTACTGGGAGTGGTGCCAAAGACGTTATTCAGCCCGACTGGTTTGCCTACAATGCGATGTCATTTCTGCATGGGATTTACGTTGCAAAAAAAACAATTTTAACTGAGGTAAGTTTAATTAGTTATATTTTGTTTAATTATATTTTATTATTTGGATAATACACTTCGTAGGCTGCAGTAGCTTCTTCCATCAACCTTTAATTGTAAATAATATAGCCCATATTCTTATTGTGCCTCTATTGGTACAGATTGTATATTACTTATAAGAAATAAAAAATATTATTTATTATTTTTTATACTTTTACAGTTTTACTATGATATATTTCAATAATTATATTCTCCTAAGTACGGCTCTGTGCACGTTAAAAATGCCAATAGCCAATGCAGAAAATATAAATAGTAATATAAATATAAAGAGTAATCATTCACGTTGCTCTAGTCACCGGTTTAGACATGTAGTAACCGGTGTCGACATGTATTCTACCAACCATAGTCTCTATGTTATTTTTGTTCATTTAAAGTGTAGGTATTTATGTTTACGATATAGCTGTGAAAAATAAATATGAATGACCCGAAATAAACTACTACATCGTCTATATAATTTTAAAAGCAGAAATGAATAAAAATCTAATCAATAAAATAGTTTCAATGAAATAATTACTAATGTATTTGTCATAAATATTTTTAAGTTTAAGTTTGGTTTAAAAAATGAATAATTCTATTAAGTATCTTAATATGTTAAATGTATTTTATTAATGCTGTTTTTATTAGTGTATATAATAATAATATTAAATAAATAACGTAAATACAAATACGTAAATACGTATATTACAAAAATTTTACATAAGCAATAATAATTTAATTTTAACTTATTATTTAGCATTTTCTTGCCATTCCACCGTTCCGCTTGTCATAAAATATTCAGCAAACTGATCCCTAACCATTTTTGCTCCAAGTCCAGATTTTCTCGGTACTCTTTGTAATGGAAACATAGATTTGGTACAATTTTGCTCAGTCCTCCAAGAACCTGGTATTACAATTCCATCATTATTTTCAGTATAGAAAATTCCAGGTGGTGTGTATATGGAATTTGATGATCTGCTTTTCCTTAAGAAATTATGCAACAATACACAAGTCATTGTTATATCTCTAACTTTTTCTGGCTCTAAAAGTATAGGTCCTCTAAATACACGGAAAACTGAGGCCATAATTCCAAACACGTTCTCAACTACTCTGCGTGCTCTAGAAAGTCGATAATTAAAAATTCTTTTGCAATTTCCATTTTCATATACTCCTGAGTAAGGTTTCATTATGTTCTTACTTAGGGCAAAAGCTTCATTAGTCACAAATACATATGATAATGAAATATTTGTATTAGGTAGTATTCCTTCTTGTGGTATTAATTCATCAGTCTCCAGTTTTTTAAAAAAAACGACGTGTTCTGAAGTACGCCACCATCACTGATTCTGCCTTGACAGCCAATGTCCACATAAGTAAAACTATAATTCGAGTTCACGACAGCCAGAAGTACAATACTAAAAGTTCCCTTATAATTATAGAATTCAGATCCACTATTTGCAGGGCACTGGATCACTATATGTTTTCCGTCGATAGCCCCGAGGCAGTTGGGGAAATTCCATTTATCGTAAAATTCAGTTGCTATATTTTTCCAACCACTTTCATTGTTTGGCAAAAACTAATAATAATAAAAAAAATAATCAATGATTGATTTTCATTACGTTGCGTTTTTTATTTTAAAATTTTTTTAAACTTATAACATATTATATTGTTTTTACTGTAACCATAATATTTAAATTAACATCTAAATGTAACTGAATTTAATTATTCATATACGTCCACAATGTACCTATAGGTATTTATATTTATATACTTTTTGTAAAATTAAGACTATACAATATACCTACATTAAACATTTTAAATATAAATACAATTAATTTACTATCTAGTGATCTTTATTTGAGTATTGTAATTACATAGAATATAATAACATAGATATATGTTTCTCAATTTTATTTTAATAATCAAACAAACCATATATTTTATTATTTTTATCAGTTTGAAAATTTGGTGGATGACGACAACACAACTGAAAATTGTCAATTGAACGACACAACTGAAATCGATGATCCTCAGACTCCGGACTGCAATTTTAAGAGCCCATCTCTGTCATCCAGTAAATTAAGTAAAAAAAGAAAATCAAATGATAAAGTGGAAGTTATTGAGAACAAGATGGACGAAGCATTTACAATTTTAAAACAAATTATACAAACTTCGGCCAAAAATAAGTGTACACTCTTTACCGATTTACTTTGCGCTAAATTAGAATCCTTAAATGAATACAAACAAGACATTGCAATGATGGAGATTGACAATCTTATGTTTTGGTTAAAACATTCAGATAACCAAATGGTACAGCCTCAACCACCCTATCATCAATTTCCAAGTACCAATATCCCGATATATTCTCAACAGTTACACCATGATAATTATTCAACAGCATCATTATCATCATCTATTCAGCCACTACCATCACCAGAGTACATATCTTCTATGCCATCTACATATTACCATCAACATTTTCAACAATTGCAAAAACCAACACCAACAACATTACAACACAGTAATGTAGGAGAAAAAGTGTTGACTATTGATCAAGATACTAATTTTGGTTCATCCTACTAAAATAAGAATATTATAACATGAAATTTAGTATAGGTATGTAGGTACTAAATATTGTTTTTATACATAGAAGATATTAATTTTTTTTATTAAAATGTTTATAATACATTCTGTATTATTATTTATTAATTTTAAATATTATTAAGAAAAAAAGTGTTTTTCAAAGTTTCAAATTTGATTTTACTAATTATTTGTTTTTTTTTAAAATATTATTTTATTAAAAGGTATTATTCTAATAAAAGATATGTTTTAAAATATAAATACTTTACCATGATTTCATTTTTCAACTCCTGATTTAACGCCCTACAAACATCTATAATACACCTGGAAACAGTTTGACTTGAAAACTTGAACAAGTATGACAAGCTCTTAAAGCTATCTCCTGTGGCTAGGAACCTTAATGTAACAGCTAGCCTTTCCTGAACCGGAATACATTTTCTCATATTTGTATCAGTTTTACATATGGTTGGACCAATTTTTTGAATAAGATATTCAAAGTCTGTAGCAGACATTCTACAGAAGTTTTGAAACTTGTTAGATGGTCCTCGTTTTAAATCTTCTAACAGATCCGTTGCATTGTACCTATATTGTAGTATAATATATTATTAATAATATTAAATACAACTATAGGATAATATTATTAAATTTTTTAATTTAGTATTTTCTATCAAAAACTTGTTAACTATAAGTTTTAAAAAAAAAACTAGCTTGTAATAAATTATAAACTATTATGTTCTTGTATGTACATTTAAAGTTAAAACTGTTAAAAAAAAGGTAGTCAGTAAAAACTAAATATAAACAAATTAAACTAAAATGAAATTTAAAAAACCTAAAATGAAATATTAATTTACATAAGCATACTTTACCTAGCACAGCTGTTGCATCCAATATCTTCTTTCCTTGCAGGATTTCGTTTTTTTAACTAATTTTCCTTTTAAATAATCACCGCCTACAATTACAATATACGCTGCCGCACAAGCAGCAATTTGAGTGTTATCCAGAGAACGACTCATTTTGAACTGAGACTTTTGGCGTCTAAATAATTTTGTAGGAACTCTGATCGGCTCGGATAAGCTCGTGGCTCGCTAAGTCACGCGCCGTGGGGGAATGCTGTTGATATTGTAGGCTCGTGATATGCCGAGCATATGGTACAACAACCGCGTTGCGCGAAGTTCGCCGAGCCACGCGCCGTGGGAACCCGCCTTTAGAATCTAAAATAAAAAAAAAAACACACGTCATTGTAAAACCAATACATTCATCGTTCCACTCAGAATCTAAAATTATCAGAGCTTAATCAATATTATACATTTATTATATAACACATATAAATATTAAATTTGTCAACATTATAGGGGTACCTATATCAGGTTCGCTATTCGCCTTATATATAAAAATATTATAGCTTTGGAAGTGATTTAGTGAATAGGTATGTGGTATGTCTGCGTATTGTTCTTCCGTGCGTCAACAAACTGTGTAGTCAAAATAAATTTTCTTCACACTTTTTCCTGATTAAGTTGTACCTGGCGTCCTGACGTCGATGTGTTTAGTCCTAGTCGAAACTGGATTTTTCACAAGTCGAATTGCACTTTGGTTGTTCAAGTATAATGTTGGTAGTTCGTCCATTATACCCACAGATGTATACTATACAGATATATACAGATATATATCTGTGATTATACCGTTACAGATTTCCTTGACTAATCTGTTGATACCACGGTAGATTACAGTCTACCGTGGTTGATACAAACCAAACTTTTAACTGTTTCGCATGCCGAGATATATTCTGCTTCACTTGAGTAGTTGAGTGTTACTATGGATTATCTCTGCGCTTGCCATGACACCGTAGATAGCCCTAGTGTTAACTGTCAGGAACAATAATAATATTATGACTTTCGCTAGGTAAATTTACTTTTATTCAACTCTGTAACAAATCACTTTAATATCACAACGGCGGGCACAGGTGACAGGTCGTCTGAACCGCACAACACCAACTGGCAGCACTAGCAATAACAACGGTACCGCTCCTAGTGAGAGTTTACCACAGATATATACAATATTGAATATATTATTATTGTATATATCTGTGGACTGTGGAGTTTACACTAGTAAGAAATCTACCTGGAAATTGGAATTATTAAATATTAGCCTTGTAGGCTCAATAGTCAATAGTGCATTAGTGCCTTGTCAATTCTAAGACAGTCCGGTTGTTACTGAAGTCTGGAATCAAATTAAATATTAAACCTTTAAGTGCCATCACAACTGTGAGCTCTGATATCACTATATAAAATAATTACAACTCTAATGAATATAAAATATAATAATGAAAAAAAAAAAGAAACTACTGCCTTCTCTTTTTTGGGGGTTGAGGCTTCCAACTACTGGGGTTATTAACCTGTGGAACTGTAGGGGGATGGAACACGTGCGTGTTTGACAGATTTTTTAGTGGGCACCCGTAGGTATCTGCCATGCCCGGGTGGGGGATGGCGGCACTTCTTCTCCGGACACCAAGACTTGCCCGAAGAAAAATGCCGCCCGCGGCCGGGGATCGAGCCGGCATCGGCAGCATTGCAACTGACGCCTTAGACCGCTCGGCCCCTCCGTCAGCCGTACGTTCTCTTATTGTGATAAATTATACAATTATACAGAATATATTTCTCAGGGTTTGATAGTGGAAAATAGATAGGTATCTAATAAGTAGGTACCTACTTATAGTCTATAAATTCTAATAAAATTATATTTTGGAAGAATATTTGATTTAAAGTTGTATTCAAATTTTAATTACCTATCTATAAAAAAAAAGTTAATAAAAATAGTTCAGTTTATGTTTTACAATTTTCATTAATTTTTCAATTGTACTATTAATTATTACAATTAATGATTTATTTCTGCGGAGTGGCCTAGCTCAGCCTAGCTCATAAGACTCGAGATGCCACTGCTGTATAACATCAACCAGTTCCACATGTGATTTACAGCTATAGGTATTTCATATTTTATTTAAACATTACATATTTGACTTAGGCACAAGTATACAACAAAAATGAAATATAACTATAACCTAGTCCTAAAATAATTCTGAAAATAAAAATTGTTGTAATTTGTGAATCACAGTAATCACAGTTGGACTTAAAAGGCAAAAAAAAATGTTCAGAAATAAAACACGAACAGTGTCTTAGAAAAAATTTAATGAATCAAAGTTTCTGAAATTAATCAGCATGGTGTGTATCTTCAAAAAAAAAATTTAAAAAAGCCAAAAATTGAAAAATGTTCATTGTAGGTTTGTAGTACGACCTTCTCGGGGAATCGAGCGTCAGGCGTAAGTCATGTAGATCATGATATAACTAACCTGTTAGTTATATCATGATGTATATGTGACTGCTTGAGTGTGTGTGCTAAAATCGCAGAACCAATAAACCAGGCGAGTTGCTTGGCGAGGTGTGAGTGGAAAAAAAATCGTAACAAAAAATGAAACTACAGGAAAATTGAAACCTTTGATGCTAATGTTCTCGGAAACTACTCGACCGATTGTCTTATTTCTTTTTTTTTTTAATGAAACATTATATCAAGGAGAAGATTCATATAGCAATAGTATTTGTTTAAGTTAATTAACATTTGATTAACATCTATTAATTAAAATAAATGTGTAAATTGTACACCTATATAAAACGACACATTTGTTTATCACCATAGTAACGAATAAAAAATAATATTATAAAGACTAAGCTAACCACTCAGAATCGTATTTTTAAGTACACTAATTGTTTGACAGTTATGAACAATTGTGTATTATATAATAGATAAAAGTAAAAATATTTAGCAAAACTTTTACTTTATTGTAGGTACATAAATTGTATGTGTTTCAAAAATCACATTTCTATAAAAATTATGTTTCAGATACAATAAATTGTACAACAACCAAATAAAATTAACTGAAGAAAGCAATACAAGTGATAAGTAGCTGATTCTATATTTTATACATCTGTTATACTCAAGTTTGTGTTTATTTATATCAACTCCTTATTTTATCAATCTTAATTTATGTATATTTTGTTAATATCTGAATCTTAGAATTTCGTAAGACAATCCAATGTTATTTTTTTTTCAACCAAACATTATATTATTTTTATATGTATTTTATTACATGTAATTAAATAAAGTTTTTTTGACTTTTAATACTTAATTCATATTTTATAGTTGTCATAGCGTTAAACAGCAGTATCATTATAAAATAATATGTATTTATGATAAAATTTAAATATGTGCGTTGAAGTAATTAAAATAAAATCAATGTTTTATTTACACATAAAATATTTACAGTATTACGTCACTTATTATTTTCACACAAAATAAGATAATAATAAATTAAAAAACAAATAATTGAATATTGTAAAATTCAAAGCTAAGTTAATTTCTTAACTAATTTCATTTTGTCAATCAATATAATGACAAAAAAGCATGACACGATTATTAGGTAGATAATACATAGTAAAATAAAGACTAGTATACGCCTACAGAGTACAGATATTGACTTAAACAAAAATATTTTAAATTGTACAGATTATCAAGAGTTAATAGTAAAAATCAGATTATTGCCAACAATCAAACATTATTTTTGGCAAACTTTACTTCCTGAATTAAAATTAATTTACAATATTGTTAAGTATTAAAAAATATTTAAGAAAATATAATATAATATATTATGTGGTAAGTAAAAAAATTAAAAATAAACCTCAAATAATATTGTTTGTGTAAAAGTATCTATTGAGAAAATAAAATCAAGTGCTTAAAGAAAATAAATCAGCAAAAAATAAATTACTATTCTACTAAAACAGTCTTAAAAAATGATTTTATCAATGATATAAACAAAATTATTGTCATTGAGGAAGTAAATTAAACATTTTGGTTGTTTGATATAATATGTATACAAGATGTAAATTGTTACAAAATAAGACAATGGTATAAAATACAACATAGCTTAATAATTGTTTTCCACATATTATTGTATAAACATTTTAATAAATCACAAATGGGCATGTGAAGGCAGACCACCATTCATACGGCAAACAACTTCTTGTCGAACATTTTCTAAAGTTTGATAAATTGTACGGAAAGTAGGACGTGAATCAGGTTTTCGACTCCAGCATTGTTTCATAAGCTCATATGCCAATTTTGGAGTATTTTCAGGACAATTCATAACGTTGCCATCTTTGATGAATTTAACGACTTCTTCGTGTGTCATGCCATAATACGGTTGAAGAGCAAAAGAAAAAATTTCCCAAAGACACACACCAAATGCCCAGACATCTGATTCAACTGTATATTTATTGTAGAGAATGCTCTCTAAAGGCATCCATCGAACAGGTATGGCATCATGTTCATCACCTTTGTAATAGTCTTGTAAATACATTTTCTGTGAAAGCCCAAAATCTGCTATTTTTACTGTCATTGTGTCATCGATTAAACAATTTCTGGTTGCTAAATCTCTGTGCACAAATTTTCTGTCGGATAGGTAAACCATACCAGAAGCAATCTGTTGAGCTATTTTCAACATATCCAAGTTTGTAAGATTTAAATCACGAAAAACATCACCCCTAGCTTCAGCTGAATGTACAATGTAATTGCTAGGTGCACATGAACGAAGAAATTCATTTAAGTCGCCACGGCCCATGTATTCAAAAAGTAAACACATTGGTTTACCTAAAGCACAAACTCCTAATAACTTGACAATATTAGGATGATCAAATTCTGACAATAGGCAAGCTTCTCGTTCAAAATCAACTTGTAGATCGTTTGAAGCTTCATCTTTTAACATTTTTACAGCTACCAATGTAAATTCTTCGTCTTTCAGCAGACCAGGTGCTTTGGCCTAGGAATTATAAAAAAATAATAAAATTAGTAGGTATTCAAATACATTTACTTTTTATCTCACCTGGAATACACGCCCAAATGCTCCTTGGCCCAAGTCTTTTACATATATTATATTGTTTCTGGGAAATTCAAGTTTTTCTAATTTTGGATTTGAACACATTCCATATTGATGATATGCAGAATTACTTGGTAATTTATCTAAATCTATATCAACTTCCTATAATCAATATTGTGTAATTTCATTAGAAGTCTTATAATATAACAATATAGTAGATTATTATATAAAATAAAATCATATATATTTACTCGAGTTTGTGTAGATCTATATGAAGTTTTATTAGACAACAACTTGTTGCACAACACTAATATTAAAACTGATACTAAAAGTATCAGAACTCCAACAATTACAAGAAATATGTGCAGATGTGTTGTTGATGTTTGATCAATAAACGTTTCAATATGGTTTAAGATCAATGTAATGGTATTTATAGCCGTGTCATTATTAATGATATCAAGTTTTGTTTCCACTATTTCAGTTTCATTTTTATCTAAAATTATGAGAATAAATAAATAAAATAATAAAGACCACAACACTTATTTTATATCTAGACAATAATCAAGGTATTACCACAAAGGGGTACATCACATTTTTGCCATCTCACATCAGGATCCATAGTATAACACCACGGAGAAGATACTTCACCTCCAGCATTTCGGCAATAATTTTCAGAATTCTGAACTTCAGGAAATACATTTGGTGGTCTTACAAATTCATGAGGAACTTTTGAATCCCATCTTTGGCATGCCAAACCCGATTTAGTTACATTAATAAATCCTTGATAGAAACGACCATTGCCACGAATACAATCAACTAAAAAAATTAATTAATTTTCTTAACACTTTGAAAATAATCAAATATTATTTTTTAAAGAAACTGTAAAAAAGAAATGTGTGAATTAAATTATGGAACAAAAATAATAAAATAGGTACATTAATTAAGAAGTTTGAAAGCAGTGATTTTCTGGATTTATCTAACGGACAAGCAACATAGGAATTTTCAGGCATTGTATATTTAATGTACTAATAGATTTCATAAATTCTGAAAACTAATTTGAATTACTGTTTAGCCTATTTGAGATTTTGACTTTTCCTCATCTTTGGTTTTATTCTCCTAACTTCTAAACAAGTTTGAATTAAAGTAAATTTTATATTTAATTTTTGAAGAAGTTAAAATCAAAAATATAGGAGCCAATCTCAAGAAGATCTTACAACAACCTTAATCCAGTCTTCATAGTTCTTATTGCTTCACTAGATCAAATTGGTATGTTGGATATACAACATGTCTACATTTCTATGGTGAGTGTACGTTAGACAAAGAGAGTAAGACCACCTCTTATAATCATTTATTTACCTTACATTTATTTTAACCTCTTTTAGAAATAAGATTTCATAAAGTAATATTCTGAATCAAATTAAAAAAAAAACATTTTTAATATTAGTACAAAATAATATAAATGTGTACCATAAATCAGAAAAAAAAAACTTAATGACAAAATTCTAAATAGGTATTTTTAAATAATTAAGTGCCAAAATATTTCAAAAATAATTTAATTATGTCATGTGTTAGTAATTATTATATTTTCCAGATTATTTTGAAAAGTATGGGGAATTAACTACTTTTAAAGATGCAATCCCCTAAGTATAACCTTTCCAGTTCATCTTCGACATCGATGACCGTTACGGTTACTATCTTATAATGCAAAGTAATACCAACTGTGTAGGTAACTGTGACGTCAGCCGATGGCCAAGATGAACTAGACGGGTTAAACCAAAGATCCAATTTTCCGGTTAAATCTTAAATAATTTTTTCTAGTCAAAAACGTGAAGACAGATACAAAAAAAAAAAGGTTTAAAATAATTTCATTATTGTAAAATTAATATATAAATTGAATAAATTTAAATGAGATTAACTGCGTATTTGCGTATCTGCCTCTCCTGAACAATTTCATTTTTGTAACATACACTGATCTCATTTGTTCTCTCAACATTTAATAATTGTAGTTTATGAACAGGTACATTTTTTTTTTCTTAATATAATAAAAAATAAAAATACCTAATACATTTAAAATACTAATAATTACATTCTTTTACTATAAAATATTAATACTTACTTGTTATTTCATCTTGTTTTAGCTCTGTGAGCATGGCATGTGAACATACAGGTTTACCATTCTGTGAGTTATGTGGTAGGTTCTCACAAAGTGGTAAAGAAAAATGTCCTTTAGATTTATAAAAAATTCCCCTTTGTTTATTTGCTTCAATCAATGCCCATTCTTTGTAGCAAAATAATTCTCGTACTGCAATACAATCTTCATAACAAAGTGGAAAATAAGATGTATCTTGATGACAATGAGGAAATGCATATAAACATAGAAGTTTCTAAAAAATTAAGATAAAAAAATGAATATATACCTAAACTAAATATTAAACCTTAAGGAACTTAAAAAGATAAGTACTTCCGCTGCTGGTCTACATGTTTTTGAAAAGCTGGGCAACATTTCTTCCCATAGACCGGTAGTGATTATTTCATTTTGTTCACTTCCTTCATTTGTCAAAGTATTGTTGAACCATATAAGAATTGAAGCATTTAAATATTTTCTACATATCTTCCCATTATACTGAGCACAATATCCACTTGGGGGATCTAAAATAAAACCAAATTATTTATTAATTTAAAATTGAAATAGATATAAACTTAATGCTCAGATGTTGTAACGTTTGTTAGCATTGTGTCAATTAATTTTACATTTTTGCTAGGTCACAATATTTTACTTATTCATAACACATTAGCCTATGTTTATTCATACAGTTACAACTTGAAAAATGAATTATTAAATAAAATTATAATATTAAGATAACTAAGTAGGTATATTCTGTGGTTTAATATCTTATCTGTTTATTTATTATTCATTATAAGAGAAGATAATTATTTTTCTAATTTTCTATTTTATATATTATATTCAGAGTATGTGAACTATAATAGTACAATACATAATAATCCTAAGCAGCTTTATAAATTATGTATAAATATTGTTAAATTATATGAGAACTCATAAGCCAGTGAGACTGTGGGAGGAGCAAGGCCCTTTCCAGGGCATCACACTTTTATGAGAGTCTTACAGCTCAAAACCTTCACATTTTATAAATACTGTAGGACCATGAAGTACATACTATGTACCTACACTTTTTCTACGTAGGTACTCAAAACATATTGTACCTAGGTATTTAAAATAATTAAGAAACAAAAAAAAACTTGAAAAATCATCAATTTGTAAGTATTTAAGTACCTATGCAATTTAATAGAGGTTTAGGAAATTTAAAATTATTTTTTTTATCAAGTGCCTACCTAATTAATGAAATGAAATTAAGTTGATTACTAATTAAGTCAATTAAGAATTATCATTACCTTACCTACGAAATCTTAGAGGTAATGCGATACATAGTTGGAAATAAAAATGTTTTCAGCAATAATATATCCTTGTTTTCAATCAAACTTATTTATTCGATAATGAATTGTTAAAAACTGTATGCAACCAATTTTGACTACAGACAGTAATTGGTACTTACTATTGACTTGTATTGATTGCTTGACGAGTAATAATGATAATACGAACAATAATGATGTCCCTCTAATGAAATCCATCGGTTACTTTGTATTATTTTGTAACTGCATGTCATTTATAAATCGTTGAATATCGCCTTCTTGGACGTGTTTGTGTAGGGCACTAGGGCGTGCAATGTGAACGGACGGTCGTGTGCCAAAACAATTCGAATCTCGTCCCGGTACCTAAGTCCAGATTGTTTTTATCCCCGGCGGTTCGTAAAGACCTTTGGCGCCATCGACACCATTACAATAATTATGTCGACATTCGTCTAGCGTCGTCGGACCATCGTCGTCTACAACAAATCAAACGTTCAACGATTAAGCCGTACTCTGGCCGCCACCGCCGGCAAACGAGCGATTGGCATTAAAAAACGATTAATTGATAAGTGTTAAAAATTATATATTTATCTACGCCGCGTAAACGTAAATGCTGTAATAGAAAATTGATTTAAATGTTAATATCACTAGAACAACAATTATAAAATAATAGTAATTAGGTAGTAATATTAATTATTAAAAATAGTAAGCGTTCCGCCAACAATAATTGATAAAACAAAATGTATAAATCGGTCGATATTGATAAGCGTTATTGTGCGTATTCTGTGATACGACGACGCGACGGAGATCACTTTAGAAAGTGTAATACCTACGTGATGTAATAATAATATTATTAAATATTATTATCGATTCTGTGGATTGCAATACCGCCACAGAACAATTCTGAACAATGCGATACTGCCGGAGCAGGCAGCGGATCGACGACGCAGTGTCGCGATGATATAAGGAAAACGAGTAACGACGACACTACTTCCCCGGTACACATGCGTATTGCGTTGGCCGGGTATTTCTTCGAATATTATAGACCGTTGTGGACACACGTTCGTAGTTATGACTTATGGAGGTTTAACAAAGCTAAGTAGGCCTACATTTAAAATGTGAATAGCTGGTAAATAAATTCTATTGATATACGAAGTTCCTCATAGGTATTGTTTATACTGGAATTGAAAAATAAAGTTGATTGGAAATCTACAATAACTTTTTATGAGCGCTCAAAGTAGGTAAGAAATTCGTCAAAATCGTGAATATTTTAAAATTAATTTGTAGTTTAAAATTCTTAAAAAATGTTAAATATTCACACAATCATTGTTTGAAAATGGGTATAAAAATGTAATACATAATATAATACTTATATAATATTTTGTACCTACTCAAAATAATTATAAAAAAAGTTGTGACTGATTCTACCAGTATTTGTTTATGAGCTTTTGAACTCTGAAGAGTAAATGTCGACTAACATGAGTATAGGTATATGAATACGACCTACATGAATATCTTCGCTTGAAATTACGATATGTCATCAAACGATTTTAGTCATCTTGTTAGGCGGTGATGCGATCGGTAGGTATATTGTAACAATATTACGTAGCTCCAGCCCCAGGTCACATTAGTTGGTTGAAAACTTGAAACATGGTTTGCTTGTTATTTGTCATAACTCATAATATTTAGTTATCACCGTGATTCGTCTTCACTCTTTCGTACTCGTGTTTTCTACTGTGTGTCCGTATAGTGTACCAAAGTGTATTACTATTATAATTAAAATAGGTACCTACCTACCTATTATTTATGAATATGATAAAATATGCTTAGTAATATTAATATATAGGCTGATGGTCCATCTCTGCTCAAATTGTTTTTCGTGTGCAATGATTTATTATTGTAGCTACCTATCCAAATTGAACACATCCATATAATACATTAATCATAATAGTATTACAGTAATACAGTGACCTGTTCAGTATTCAATGACAGCAAAGCAATTATGACTAGTGGCCATTATTGATTAAAAACATAAAATTTAGTAACCTATAAACAAAAATAATCCGAATATCCGATAATAGTTTAACATGTTATTACTAAATTATAAATGTATAAACTATAAGTGTATTTGTGTAAGTGCAATGCTTGTATATTATATATAAAATATAAATTATGAAGATTAGGTAGATTAATATTTAAAATAAAAATACAAGTATTGAAAATAATATTCTCAAAATAATCGAAAACGTATTATAACAATATATAGTAAAGACTCAGAAAAAAATGTACCATTTTTAAGGAAAAATTAAAAGTTTTAATGAAATTTGTATGAAGTGTATTCATAATAATGTGAATGTGAATATTAACATAAACATTGTTCTTAGTTAATACTATGCCAATTATAATGTAATTCATGGTTTAAATACTTGAATATAATTATTTTAATAAATTAATTGGAATATAATTGATTAGTAAACATTAATTTAATGAGATATTTTTATAATACAGTCAAATTAAATATAGATAAATTATTAATATTCCCTTGGTTTTTTTGAAATTTATAGTTACTTTTAAACAATTTTTAATGCTACAAATTAATAATACCCAATCTTTAAAACTTAAACTCGTTTTTTTCTGAGTATAGTTAGGCAGTAAATTATGTCACCTATAAATTATAGTATAATACATTAATTTAATACCTATCAATCCTTAATTATACAAAAATGTGCAATAAATAAATTGTAATACCTAGCTATATATACATAACTTATATGCATTGTTCTATTTTATTGGGAATATTTAGTGTATTTTTGGGCTTCTGGCCAAAATTTTATAAAAATAAAACAATTTATATTTTTGCACTGTATAAATTATGTTATGGGAATTGTTTTAAAATTGTCAAATTTTCGTATTAATATTAACGATTGACAGGATATTTATTTTATTAGACTATAATTTAATATATATTTTTAAAATTTATTTTCGGGAATTACACATACATTTAAACAAATAAAACATAACTTTTAAAAATATGAATGGATATTATATTTTCTTTTTAATCCAAAAGTTTGTTATGATTTCTTCTGTTTTTAATCTGCATATTTTTAGTGTATATAAATTAATTTTTCTAAATTTTGTAAGACATATTTCAATCCATTTTTGGCTAGTTTTTAATACAAAAGTGCACTATTTACAAGGCCTGTACATAAGACATAGTATAAAGTATAGACCGGTAACTGCTAAGCACTGTAATAGATAATACCTAGGTGAGTAGGTCGTAGGTAAATACGTACCTACCTAGGTATATAAAAAATTAAAACATGTTTAATAGATATGACTTTAAAAATATCTAAATACAACAACCAAAAAAGATAATTATATTTTAATATTTCTAATTTCTATAACAGCAAAAAATCTAAAATATGCTGAACATTTTTATTTTAGGTTTTAAGGTTCATTTTAGAATAATGAGTGTATTTTTTAAATTTGTTGTATTTTCCAACATTTAACACGAAAAAACTTATCTGAAAGTCAAATTTAATTTTTACGAGCATTAGAACTTTGATATTAGATATGGATATGTTCACCCGTAAATTAACAAATTCTGATACAACATTTTCTTATTTTTTTGTTATTCAAACTGTAACTGTAGATACATGAAATTATTACTGAATGTTTAGATTAGAATTTTCTACACGCACTATAAGATTTTCAAAATATTTTCACTTGGTTTGAGGTGTTTACGGACATTTTAAGTGTCCAATTTTTTAGTTTTTTTTTCTATAAACGTCAATAAAATTGTATTCGTTGAGTCAAAAACTTTTAAAAAATTTAACACAAGGCTTCTGATATATTGTTACGATAGCAGTTGAAGAATATTTAAAATACATAGGTACAGTTTTTTAGATTCTGAGTGAAACGATACAGTCGATACATGTATTGATTTTACAATGATGTGTGTTTTTTTTTAAATTTTTTAATTTTTTTTTGTGTCTGTCATCACGTTTTAGGACAGTAAAAGTGCTTGGATTTTCTTAAACAGTAGCTTTTCTGATAGGAAAGTGAATCTAGTTGGTACTTTGGGGACAAAACTGTTAAGGGACATTTTCATTTTCCATCTTTTTTTAGTTTTTTTTCTAAAAATATCAATAAAATTTTATTTGTTGGTTGCAAAAGCTTGAAAATTTAATAGAAGGCTCTTAGTATATTGTTTCAAAGGCAGATGTAAAATATTAAAAATACATAGGCACATTTTTTTTTTTATAAGCATTTAAACATCGAATTTTGACAGAATTTTTCAAAATCTCGAAAATTATTAATCATCGTAATTATAAAATGTTTAGTTTTTATTGCTAAGGATTGAAAATTTAAAACAAGATTCCACGTAAGTAGTTAATTCTCTTACCGAAAAATCTAAAAAAATATACAATCACAGTTTATTTTTATAGTCATTTTATGTTCAAATTTGGACGAAATTGCATATTAAAAAACCTAGTTATTTTGTTCTGATTATATAATATTCGTGGGTACCTACTTGAAACTTCTAAAGTGTACTATTATATATCTATGATAGTATCAGGGTTTGTTATTGATGTTGATGTATAACGTGTTATAAGTACCTAATGGATATTGTGATAATGTGATGATTAATTTGGAATTTATTATAGGTCAATTTTTTTTTAATACCATAGATATGTATATAATTTGTCTTAAACCTAGACTGACATACCGTCTTTGCTCAGAATCGTTTTTCTTATACAATGATATTGTATCATTGAATTCAAATTTAATAGCATCCACTATACAGTGACCCACTTGTAACCTACTTTACAGCAGAGCGACATCCACTTACCCACCTTTTTTTATATGCATTTAAACATTAAAGTTCGATTTTAAGAACAACAGTTAACTATCAAATTGGTCATAGTTGTTACATATACATTTATGATTTATTAGGGAATTTACCAATTATCAAAATTAGAAGTAAGAATATTACCTAGTGACCCTCTTTGGGGTTTTTTTTTATATTTTAATTGTAAAACAAGTTATAAGTATTTTAAAAGGCACAAACAATTTACAATTTTAAAATACTCATAACTTGTTTTAAAACTAAAATATAAAAAAAACCCAACGAGGTTCACTAGATAATATTTTTCCTTCTAAATTTGATTATAAGTCAATTCACTTTAATTGTTAAACTAATGGAACTGCATGTGTTCTGC